TATTTGCGAACAGTCACCTAACCTAGGTATCCTACCAACCTATCTCGCCTATTTCTTATCGACTTCCATAAAGTCCTCTGTCATCCTATTCTTTTCAATACCTCATCATTTCTGACCTCCTCTATCCACGGTATCCTTATTATTTGCCAGTATTTCGAACGATTGTACTCTTTTCTTTTCCACCGCGCCCACCGTCCATGTTTCAATCCCGTATAGCGCGCGCTCCAAACATACACTTTTAACAATGTTTTTTGGATTTCTAAATTAACCGTTCGCGAGTATAGAAGTGACTTCTTTTTATGGAAGGCGACTCGACCGTGCGCTATCCTTTGCTTTATGTCCCTACTACTCCTTCCGTCCTGACTTATCCGACTTCCTAGATACCAAAAATTAGTCACTTTTTTTTTTTAATTTTTCCTCTCCTACCTTTATATTCGTTCTTTCCCTACTTTTTCTTCCCATGCATAACCAAGTTTAAAAAGGGCGCCAAAATACAAAGTATATTCTAAATAGACTAACAAATAGTGGGCCGTATTTTAAAAATTTGTCATAGTTTCTACAAGATTAACATTAGTATACATCATCCGTTAAATGATGAAAGTAAAGTGCGGTATTGATTATGCCAAAAATGCACGTAAAACCGACTCGAATGGCAATTATCCACTTGTTTATCAGTTGTAGATAGTAAATTTACTTTGTTATGTATTTATTACTGTTTCTTAATTAGTTATTATTAAGTTTATGTGGAGCTATTTAGATTGTTACATATCTTTGTATGGTCCCCTATTTTTTCATCGGTTCGATTTCGGATTCACCGTCTGTCTCGGTTCAACTTTATATGTGGAGTTCTCTGTTTTCTGTCTTCTTATCGTACGTCTCACCTATGTATTTCTGCCCAACCACTACCACCGGCTTATTCCCACAGTTTTTAAGTAGAGGCTGAAGAGAGCCCCCAGCCCTACCCCTCGGCTTTGCGCCATAGTGTCAGAAATAAACAAAATTATTTTGTTCTATTTTTGCTTGCGATGAAAATGTTAAAATTGAAACAACACTGCTTATTGGTACTTTTAAAAATATTATTTCAACCTTGTAGCACATCTAAATAAGGTTCAGAGCTTATAGGTAATTATTAGTAGTTATAATAAACGCCATTGTGTTGGTATCCTTATAAGGAATTAAATAAGTTATTTTGTGATTGAATAAAGACGTTTCTAGGTACTTACAATACTTTGCGTACATGTGTATGTAAATAATGTAATCTTACAATAAAATTGCTAAATAGGGTCCATAAAAGATCATTTATTAACTCAATCATCGGCCATTCTTTAGTTTATTACGTAGGTGCATGACATTATTGTTTATTAATTCGAAAATCATTGCAAATGACTTTAATTTATTAATAACACGTTACTAAACAGTTTTCGGCCGATTACTTGGAAATTAAGACGATTGTAAAATATTCGGTTAAATGAAGTTGATGTTTAGTCAAGTCCTTTATCAAAAGATAATTTTTAACAGGCACTTAATAATTTTTTAAGATGAATTGTGTTTATGTGCCGGCAATTCTCTGACATAATAATTCTAAACACTTTTATGCTAATTAAATATTAATTATTATTAGCAAACTGCGTTTTACGAGCTTACTTACTAAAACGAATTATGCAAATGTAATATTAAAATTGTGCAATCTAATGCGTTCTATTAATTACAGAT